CTGCTGGCACGCTCAGGGAGCAGTGTCGCTGGTGCCCCACTCCGTCCCAGCTGCAGCGACTGCGCGTGCACGCCTGCAAATGTGCATATAGGTAACAGGCATCACTAAAACTAGTTAACAGCAAATGACTCATTGACTTTCATCTTTTGTTTTACGTGAAGTTTTGTGCTGAATTAATCCAGCATATCCATTAGTAACCTCTTTAGGAACGGACATGTCTGCTCTGGCACGTTTATGCCAGCTTGCACTGATTTGGCATTTTGCCTGGCGTACTACAAAAGAAGACAGATTTTTCTTCCCATTAATAAGTAGTCAGTAGGGGACTGATCTTTAGCTATCTAAGAAAGATATTCGAGAGATACAGTGAGCTTGAGGCACGCATGTTTCAGAAAGATGGAAAGGTGTTTTGCAGATGAGATGAGTTTTTGTGCTTGTAGGGAATGTTCCTCTAGACTCCTGTAGTGCCGTGGGGACTCCCCTCTCCTGTCAGGTAGCAGAATGAGCTGCACCTCAGGAAAGAAAGGAAGGAACATTTCCTGTCAGTCAGCGTGTGTGTCTGATGAGTATTTTTTCTTTAAGAAGATTATTTCCTCACTAACATGCATGTTTTCCTTCTCAGTATTGTGGGAGACCTAGCTGCTGATCTGTTAGGGTTATTCTCATTATCATCTCTCATTCCAACTCTTGCGTCAAAGAGCTTACGCAGCCGCCAGACAGCTAGAGTGAAGGCTGCTAAGCACATTATAATGTGAAGTTTAGAAATATTTATTTCAATTTGTAAAGTGAATCTTTTAATGGCAGTTTTGCTGACCACTTATTGACCAATAATGTCAGAATAATATTACATGTGGACTAATTATATTTCTTTTTGTTTTGCATAGGTAAATTACCTTTCTCCTGTTTAAAGTGATGTCTTTTACGTTGTTAATGGTGCTTTTTATTTGCCAAGTCTTTTCTAACTTTACTACAATGGAAATCTTTTCTTAAGGGGTCCTCTGGAACTTGTCTTCATGTGATGCAGTAAAGATGACAATCATTAGAGATGCTCTGTCAACGCTAACAAACACTGTGATAGTGCCACATTCTGGATGGAACAGTTCTTCCTTTGATGATGATCATAAAATCAAATTTCAGACTTCCCTAGTTCTGCGCAACACTACAGGATGCCTGAGGTAATCTGCTGTTCTAGAAGACTCCCTTTAACAGAGCAATTATGTTATCCAGCAGGTCCTTTTGATACTGTGATTTTTAAGATGAACTGTTGCAGTCTATAAATTACATGTAGTTCTATCATTTAGGTAGCTTTTGCATATTTTTTTTCCGTATTAGAAAAATATGCAAAGTACGAAGTTAGTCCCTAGGAGATGTTAACTGGAATGGCTAGTGGTTAAGTTTTGGTTGTTTTTTGTATACATTACAATCATTGCACTTTTCCCCTCTTAATTACTGCAATTTTTATATTGTGTGTAGGGCTCATGAATATTATTTAGGGAAAAAACTGTGCTTTTGGTGATTCTTTATTGTTGTATACATTGAAAAAATTATATTTGTATATGCATACGTATCAGTAAAGAAATGTTTGGCTATTCCCTTCGTGAATTTCTCAAACAGCAGCAAGAAGAAAAAAAGTATTCAGAATAATAAAAGGCACAACTAAAATATCTGAAAAGAATTCAAGGGCCAGGGGTACTATATGAGCTATTTCTGTTCGTCTGTAGGTTTGTTTATAATTTTAATTTGTTAGATTTCAATTTGTGTTCCATTGAACAGCAGAGTAAGGCCATTGTGTTTAAACAGAACTGGAATTCCTTTTTATTTGCTGGTAACCCTTCTAAACATCAGAATATTTTCGTAAACTACTTTTTGTTGTTGTTCAAGATGACTGCTTTACACTGCTTTGGAGCATAGGGTTGTGCTAGCGTAGCGGCGCAAACATGACGTCTAGAGAAAAAGCACCTCTATGGCTAGGCACGGTGGCATATTCTAGCAGCAGTACCATTTTCGATGTGCCTCCAGTCAGTGCAAGCTTCAGGCTTTGCAGTATGGTGGCCTTGAAGGCAAATATTTGTCTAAACCCCCTGCTGCTTTATTCTAATTCCCTACACCCTAATTTACATGTTTATACTTCTGTCTGTGTAGCACTATTATACATGTTAATGAGGCTGCACCACAGAACGACTCGCTGGATGAATCCAATTCCAAAAAGAGGCAACAAAGGGGCTTTCTAACACAAGCAAGCTCAGCAATCTGTTCTACAGGACATACAAACTGTAGATTTGGACTTGTCCAACAGAAGGGGCTTGGAATGGAAAAGTCTGTGGGAAAGAGGTTCTGCTTATGCCTGGTTTTGTTAATGAGTCAATGCTGTCTTGAAATTGCAGGTTTGGATCGTATTTGTCTTGTGTAAGAATTGGGGGTGGGTTGCTGCACAAAATGGTATGTTTGCTTTTAACTTCTCAATTATCAATCAGCTGTATAAAAAACTTCTGCAAGCTATCTAATAAAATTATTGTATGTATGTCTATCTGAGAATATACTGTGTTCCTTTATCATTTCCACCCTTCAGGAATTTAAGCTCCGCAGGTGAGGAAGCCCGGAAGCAGATGAGGTCTTGCGAAGGGCTGGTTGATTCACTGCTATATGTGATCCACACGTGTGTGAACACATCGGATTATGACAGCAAGGTGCGTGCGCGTTCCATCTAAGTGATTTTTAGTGCTAAGCTGTATGGAACTTCTGGGGTTTGTATAGTATAATTTAGTACTGTCACGGGCTTAGCTCAACTGGTCTTCTCTCCCACCCCAAGTTTGCTGATGCACAATCACTCTGTTGCATAATACAGTGTAACTTGTTCTGTGCTTTTCGTTTTCATAGTGTTGAAGTATTCATTCTCTAATAAAATAATAAGCTCTTGTGCTTTTCATTTCCAGAATACTAAAAAATAAGCCACTATAGTAGAGATTACGATTATAAATATTTTCATATTTGAGTATATCAGGAGAGAGATTGCAGTTTTCCCAGAGAAACAGATGAAGCAATGCCCCAAGCCCAGAACTAGGGTTTGGTGCTTGTGTTCCAAATCCCTTTTTACTGCTACCTAATTGGTTTGGTTTGCTTTGTTAGTTTGTAAGAAAGTAACTAATTACATTACATCTTTCTGGTTTGGTTTCAGACCGTGGAAAACTGTGTGTGTACCTTGAGAAACCTTTCTTACCGTTTGGAACTGGAGGTACCTCAGGCACGTCTGCTAGGAATCAATGAATTGGATGACTTGTTAGGAAAAGAGTCACCTAGTAAAGATTCAGAGCCAAGCTGCTGGGGGAAAAAAAAGAAGAAGAAAAAAAAAACTTCACAGGAGGATCAGGTTTGCAGTTTTGCTTGTATTACAAATGTATCAACTGTAGTTCAGCTAATGGGGGAGGAGTCCATAGCTTAAAGAAAAAACATCATATGTTGAATGAAAATGTAGAGGTTTCGTGTAGTTACAAGTAGATGTTCGTTTCTCAGTGGGATGGAGTTGGCCCTATACCAGGATTTTCCAAGTCTCCCAAAGGGGTGGAAATGCTGTGGCACCCATCGGTGGTAAAGCCATACCTAACGCTTCTAGCAGAAAGCTCCAACCCAGCTACTCTAGAGGGCTCTGCAGGATCTCTCCAGAATCTTTCTGCGGGCAACTGGAAGGTATGTGAATTCCTGTTCTTCCCCTATCGTTGCATTTTAGCTGTTTTTTTAATAAGATACTGGAATGTGTTTGGGAGGAACGTGTCATTTTCTAGTATGCATCTGAGTGTTTCTCTCTAGTGTGTATCATTAGTGCTCATGTGTTGGAGTAATGTTATTTTGACAGTGAAAAGCAATGACAAAGATGGTAGACAGGAAGAGCGATATGGAAACTGGGATTGAAATTGGTACCATTTATTTTAAATAAACAGAAGAAGCTTTCTTTCAGTGCATGTTAGGTAAAAATAATCTTCTAGCATCTTCTAGCTGTGAGTTCTGGTGGGAAGGTACTGTCAAAATAAGACCAGCATAAATAAAAGGTTTGTATTGGCTTTATTAGTCTTACTTATTTCCATACATTCTTCCTTGTGGCCCTTGCATACAGTATGTTACAAAAACACCACATGAGAATGCTTTATTGATGTTATGTATTTGTCATGGAGAAATAAAAAAAAAAAGTTAATTGCTTGCTTTGCTGTAGAAAAACAGCTAAGACATTTTCATTTTATGACCATTATAAAATTGGTCTTTAAAAACAAAAAAAAACAACAACAACAAAAAAAAACCACCAAAACCAAAACAAAACAAAAAAAACAAACAAACAAACAAAAAAAACCAAAATGCAAACCTGTTCCCTTTCAATAATCTGTCATCTGTTAGGATAGTTTGTCTGTTAGACCACTGTTTTTTAAACATTGCTTTGTAAGAGGAATGAGTGAAAAGGAACAAAAAGCCAACCCTTTATTATAATAGAGAAGATACGCATTTAACATGTCATCTTTTCTTTGGAAAATGTCCCCTAACATACTTAACAATTACAATCTAGTAAGAGATTATTTCAGCCAGAATGTTGTAGATTTGTGAGTAACTGGGGTTTTACTATAGTTTGCAGCATACATTCGAGCTGCTGTAAGAAAAGAAAAAGGACTACCAATCCTTGTGGAGCTGCTGAGAATGGATAATGATAGAGTTGTTTCATCTGTGGCAACAGCCTTAAGGAATATGGCATTAGATGTTCGTAATAAGGAGCTTATTGGTGAGTACAGACCTGTACTGAAGAAAGCACGAATACCAACATGTCAGACCTTGTATGGAAAAAACCCAAGGATGAGGTTCTACCAATAGAAATCACATATTTGATTTTACTCTATTATGTCAGTTGTGTCACAGGAATTAATTTTTTGGACAGCAGTAGCTTTTCAGAGTAATATTGACATTTTAGTTTGCCTTTAGCCATCTTACATGGCAGTCTGTTTACAAAGGATGGAAGTCATTCTCGGCTAAACTAAACTGGACAGGAAACTGTCAGTACAAAATATGATGGAAAACAGAGCTTTACTTCCTTGGAGCTAAATGGTAACCTTCTCAGAAGGTTTCCTTCCAGGTCTCTTACATATTCTAAGAGGATAAGACAGCTCTGCTGCCAGTACATCAGTAAATACTTGATTTAATAGTATTGGACTGGGAGGGAAGAAATCCTCTTCTAGTAAAATATTTCCACGAAAACCCAGATATGGAGCAGTACATATGTGCCCCTGCTGAATTCAGTAATCAACAAGGGTGCTTGCTAGAAAAACTTAGTTTCCCTTTTGTCAATTTTAATATTTAATACTTTAAGAATTCATCTGTGCCTTTCTCATCTAGCATTTAAAAAAAAAAACAAACCACAACATCTTTCCTTCCTTGATCAGGAATCTCAGTCTATTATTGGCGAGTGTTGAACATGCCTCACCCTCAGCTTCAGACTGCTGTGGCCTAAATGAACCCTGCTAATACATGTCATGGTTTTAAAAAGTTTCACTTTTGTACAGAAGCATTGTCTGTGTTGTAGACTAGACTTGTATATAACAACTATTTATACAGATAAGAGTATCACTATTAAAAAGATAAATGCAAGGGAACAGAATTTTATATCTTTCTGATGTTTCTCCATCTCAGACGTTCAGAACATGTTTTCTTGCAGTGTGGGTATTACGTTCATAAGGAATTAGTAAAAAGAAAATTCTGTTCTATAGCACCAGCCATATACAGGTCATACTCAGGTGACATTCTCTCTTCAGGACTTTTTTTCCCTTCCTGGAGGAACTTTTCAGTTCAGGAATGCACCTCCATCTGTTCTCTCTCCCTGGCAAAGCTTTAAATGTGAAAGAATTATTGGCCTTTGAGATACAAAGATTAGTTTCAGAGTGTATAAAATATTTTGAGACATGAAGTGAGTCATAAATTACCCTATGCTAGTAACCTATTCTATGCGACTTCACTGCTGTTGGTAGGAGCAGGAATAATGGGTTTCCATGGTCTAAACTCCAAAGAAAATAAGAGACTGGGGATTTCAACAAACAACAGTATAAATTAGTATGTGCAAACTTGTGTTGTTGAGCTTGCTTAAAGATTGGCAGTGACAGGATACTGCTGTATACAGCATTGTGGGCGATAGTTTTCCAGTGTGTTTGAAAAGTTGTTCCTTTTGCTTGCAGAATTCTTTTTGGATAACTTTTTTTTTTCCCCTCAGGCATGTTACGCAAATAGATAGTGAATGGCTTTGTGTGACGCTTGTTCATTAGTCACTGTTACGTACAAATACATGTCTTCAAACATGTCCTGCCAAAAAGGTGGTGGGCTCAATAGCCCAGCTGAAGTGCATCTGCACCAGGGCACACAGCATGGGCAGTAAACAGGAGGAGCTGGAAGCCCTTGTGCAGCAGGAAAACTGTGATATAGTTGCCATCATGGAAACATGGTGGGATGACTTGCACCACTGGAGTGCTGCAATGGATGGCTATAAACTCTTTGGGAGGGATAGGCAAGGAAGGAGAGGCGGTGGGGTAGCCCTGTACTTTAGGGCGTGTCTTGACTGTCTAGAGCTCGACGATGGTGACGATAGGGTTGAGTATTTATGGGTGAGAATCATGGGGGGAAAGGCCAACAAGGCAGATATGGTGCCTGTCTGTTATAGACCACCTAGCCAGGGTGAAGAGGCAGCTGAAATGTTTTATAAGCAGCTGGAAGAGGTCTCACACTCGCTAGCCCTTGTTCTCATGGGGGACTTACCAGATGTCTGCTGGAAATACAATACAGCAGAGAGGAAACAGTCTGGGAAGTTCCTGGAGTGTGTGGACAATAACTTCCTGACACAGCTGGTGAGCGAGCCAGCTAGGGAAGGGGCCCGACCTCTTGTTTGCGAATAGAGAAGGACTTACGGGTGATGTGACAGTTAGAGGGTGTCTTGGTCATAGTGATCACAAAATGATAGTGGTTTTGATTCTTG